CAAAGTTTCCCACTGAAAGACCCTCTACAATGATGGAGGGTTCTAGCCCATTAGCTAGCAATACCACGGTACGTTACTCCCCTCCTGTGCACACAGTTTCCAAACCCTTTACCTTGGTTTTTGATACCCAAATACAGCTCTTACAGGGACATTCCAGTTCAGCACTCCTACACATTTGTTCTGAACAGCAGGTCCTAGAGGTGTTTCTGAGACATTTGTAAAACACCCAACATGGTTTCAGCTGAGCATTAACATGGAAAAAAAAAAAGTCCACATTTTGTAAACTTTGGAGACAAAACAAAAATTGTTGAGCCTAAAATGCTGCAAAACAATAAAAGTTTCACGTATCTATAATAGAGCAGCTAGGAAGAGACACTGAGAGTAGAAATTCTGCTAAATGATGAAAGATAAGGAGGAAAAGGCCCATGAAGAAAGCTAGGAAAGCAAAGAGCAAAAAAGAGATTGCCTATGTCCAAACTGGAGACAGGGTTGGGGATTGCATGTCAGCAGAGATTGAGAGGCTACTGAGAATTAGGAAGGAGGACTGATACAGAAGAGAATCTGTGGGAGGCCATGTCGGACCACAGGGGAAAAAAGAAAAAGATCAGTTTGCCAAAATCTCCATCTCTGCAAAGCCTCCTTGCTTTTATACTTAAAAAGAAGGTGTTTTCCCAACAAAAGGAGCTGAGGAGTCCCACAGCCTGGAGCGGAAAGGAGCGACCTAGCAAATTCACGCGGAGAAGCTAATGACCCTTCTCGGGCAAAGCGGTCATTATCCCTATTGCACGCAGGACAATCCTGCAATTAGAATGATAATTAGGGTGTGAAACTCATCTCCCTCTTCAATTGGACTTCAGCAATGCTCCTTCCCACCTACTCCCTGCGCCAGTTCCCAGCTCCTCTACGCGCGAGGGAGCCTGGGAACGCGCCAACGCTGGAAGCTGGGACACCAGCTCCACGGCCCCGAGACCCTGCTTGGTCCCCCCAGCTGCTCCTCGGGCTGCCTTTGGCAGGGTCAGCACCTAAAATGTCCCTGTCTGCATCTCCCGGCCATGGTGGACTGCCCTGGGCTAAAAGAAAAGCAAGGAAGGGGGCAGCCGTGTCCGTGTCTGCTTCTTGCTTCGCCTGGGCTGTGAATTTGCAATTTTGCTTGCTGTGACAGCTGAAGGCAACAAGAGGGGCAAGTTAAATCTTCTCTTGTGTCTCTTGAGATATTAGCGGGAAACTGCCAAAGCGTTTAACTTTCCAACATGTACATTTTATACGTACATAAAAATCACTGCAGTAATAGTAAAATAAGATCAATAAAGTAATAAAATTCCAGCAACACCAAGCCTTCCCCATCCTCCATAACAGTACACATTTCAATCGTATGCCAACTGCCACGTAAGATTGGACTTGTTATATTTTGAAGATAACCCATAGAAATTCCCTTTGCATATATGTGCATATAGCCAAGGAAGAGCTGGAGAATCCCAAGACCTTGGTCTTGTCCGTGGTGGTCGCCCAGCTGCAGAAGACACCAACGGCTACCGCTTGAGTTGTCATTGCCTCCCTTCCTCCAACTTGGCTTTAAAAGGTGTTTTGAACTATGAGTTACTTATAAATCCCTCTGCAAGCATGGCTAAAACCTGGCAAGCATGTTTCAGTGCATGTAAGATTTAAATGTAAATACATTTAAAATACAGTGGTGAGTCTGGCAAAGAAAAATATTTACCTAAAACCTGCTGCACAGTGAGCAATGCTTCAGAGTTCTCTGATATTTTAGGTCAGCACTTTGTATAAACCCTTGGTGTAAACAAGGGCTCATACTTACAGAAACCACACTGAAGCTGCTGTAAGTTGGAAAGAAGCCATATCAAAATTGGAAGTTTACAGTAACTGGTGCCATCTCATTCCAGGTCCTCAAACACAGAGGTTGCCCTTTCCTAGCAAGAGCCCCTACCAGCTCCGTAGCGCAAAGTAACCAGCAACGCTAAGGAGAAAGCTGCAGACTCAGTAACTGTCAGTCCCTAATGGTAGCAAAAGAATCCTTATGCACTATGCTTCTAGGAAAAATATTTTTGAAATAATACAAATGTCTTTAAATATTTATGGAGATTCATAAACACTGCTCTGGACAGACAATTTAAAGTATAAAATATGTTTATTTCAATTATATACAGCTCAGTACATTTTGATATACATCATCATATTTTGTTTGCACTCCCACTTTGTAACATTAGTACAAATACATCTTGCTGTAGCCTCCTCCCAGTTCTTCAGTTTGCATTCCCTTCTGATATTCAGCGCTTAAAACAACTTTAAAATAATTTTTAATTAGGCAACGCACTTCCTCCGCAGCAGTATAAAAGATGCAAGACGACACATACCAATGAGTTGAAGTGTCTAATTTATGCCAGCAATTTGAAAAAATCCAGCTTTTCAAAAAGGCATGGAGGCCAGGATACAAAACAATCATCTTTGGTCTCACATTCAGTAAAAATTAAGACATCCAAAATTATCTTCTTTCCCAAAAAAGAACAAGGAAAGATTTTTTCAGAGATTGAAAAAAAATTGCAAAAAATATATAATGCAGTAAAGAAATACAACTTAAAATACAATCTTCCAAGAAAAAAATAGGTATTTTATATGTTTGTAGCTAAACAGTACTTGATGGCAAACCTAAGCACACGGCATAGTGTGTACTAACACTTTTTTTTAGGAAAAAAACCCACCATGTGAGACATGGCATTGAAGGCTTACTGCGGTGCAAAGTGCCTAAATTAAGTAAACATATATATTTACTCCTTTCAGCAGACTAAGACCTGTATGTTGCAAATTCGCCAAATTGTATATTGTTCCTTCAGAGTGTGCAGACTAAGCAGATTCACAGTGACCTGTGCTTTGGCAGCTCTTCTGGTGTACTGCATTTTGGCATACGTCCGTATCAGACACATAACACAAAATGGAATGAGATTAATCTTTTTGCATAGTTAAAAAAAAAATGGTGCCTTGACTTTAATCAATCATAAACAAGTTTCAACATTAGATCACAGTGTTGCAACAGTTCCATGATGAGGCATGACTGGACATACTGCAGATCTAATGTGCATAATACATTCAAGACATCTACCCTAACTCTAGGCCAGAAAGTAGGAGTTTATATGAGGGATTCTCAGTAGCAGTTATCCACACCAGGAGTACTTGCAAGACAGTGTGAATAATCCATTTGTGAAGCTCACTCTTTCGGTGATAAACAATTAATCAAAGAGAGCAAACTCAAAACTACACATGTGATTTCTGGTGGCCAAGTATGGCAGGAAATAACTTAAAACATGCATCCTTGCCACTTATGTAACCCAACATTTCTTAGGTGAGCTTTACCTACAGAGAAAGAGCGCTTAGCGTATTCCTAAAATCTGATTTATTGTGCAAAGTGCGTGCTTCCATATTGAAGCTGGACCAACGGCACGTAGCTAACTTCATCCAAGACTCTGAACTCATGATATTGTGCAGTCGTCTTTCGACTTACCCTTGCCCTTCCTACCACCTTGTGAATCCTCTTTGCTTTCATCCCTGTCATTGCCACCACCTTCCAAATCCTGTTCTGAAACATTTTCGTCTGCCATTTTTTCCAGATCATTGGAGTCTGATGCTTCATCGCTGGCTTCCAACGCATCAGCCTTCTCATCAGTTTTCTGTGAAGATCCTTTCCCTTCCAAATGCCTTGTTTCTTCTGTCTCACCCTCTTTTTTATGCTGCAGGCTGTCATCTTCAGTCAATGTGTTTTCGATGTTTGCGTTGTCTTGGCCTTCTCCAGTTTCACTACATGAGGCAACTTCCCTGATCACACCATGTGCTCCAGCTCCTTCTCCTTTCTGGGTATCAGCTTTCTCTCTACCACATTTTTCATCAGTTTCCGGTATCTGTTTTGATTCCTCATCAAAATCAAATGCATCACTATCATTTTCCACTCCTTCCTCTGCTCCACTCTCCAATTTAACTTCTTCAGCAACATTTTCATCCAGCTCAGTTCTCTGTGCAAGAGTCTCTACCTTGCCCTCTGCTAAAGATTCCTTGGCCTCACCCTGCTCTTCTGTTCCCTGATTTTTGTCCTCTTCAGTCCCTTGAACCTTCTGATTTTTATCTTGCTCCTTCTCTGTACACTCATGTACATTTTCTTGATCTGGAGTTTGTTCTTTGGCTTCTGAGCTGTCTTGAATAAAGTGCTGCAATGGTTTGGTAGTTTCCTGTAAAGAACTACCTGCATCTTGCTCGGATGCAAATCCACCATCTGGAAGGTTCAGCTGTTTCTTGGTTTCTTTCAATGCTTCTTCATGAACTTTGTTTGCAGTAGTTACACAAAGACCTTCAGTTGCCTCCTGCCTAGATTCACCTTCCTCTTGTTTAGCTATGTTGTGATCTTCAGCTTCTAAAGAAATTCTCTTCTCTCCCACCGTATCGCAAGTAGTTTCCTCAATACACGGAGCTGTTTCAATTTCTATGCTTGGTTTTAAATCTTCTACCCTTTCAGTTTTATTCTCCTTTCTTTTTCCAGACTCATCCTGTATTTCTGCTTCTGATTCCTGGCTGTCACAATCTGAAGGACTTGGGTCTACACTGCTTCCCTCCTGCTTGATTATTCCTTCAGAACCTGAATATGCTTCCAATTTGTTCATCAATACTTCCTCCTGTCTGTCCTCCTCGCTCACAGCCTTTTCATGCTCTGTCTTATCTTGCATTTTTCCTTCCTCTAATGAAACTATGGGACCATTCTCTGAAGAAATTGGTCCGATTTGTGTCTGATCTCCATCTTCCCCTTCACTCACAGCTGCTGGGGCACCACTTTCACATGAGTCCTTCCCCTCCATACCCTTGGACTCCGTTTTCTTGGCCTGACCTTGAGCTGCGTTTCCCATCTCATTTTCTTCTTTGGCTATACTAATTCCATCAGTTCTCCCATCAGTACACTCTTCCAAGACATTCCTGTCTTTCTCATCAGTATTTTCTTCTGAGTGCTGGAGTCCCTTGGTGTGATTCTCTACACTGGGCTCTTGGCTAAATGAACCCACTGCTGCAACCTTTGGAAGCCCTGGCTGATCCAAAACCAGCTCACTGCTGTTACTCCTAATAGCAGCTTCATTACCACCCACTGCATTGCTAGCTTCCAAATCCCCTCCCTTCTGCTGTGCTGCAGCCTTTTCTAATTCACATTCTACACCTAAATCACTAGGCATTTCCTGAGGAGTCTCAAAAACCTGACCTGACAGTGCACCCACCTCTAGCTTCTGATTTTTCCTTTGATTTATGTTACTATGTTCAGCTTCCTCACCAACAGGCTGTTGGGCTTCTATGTGACTGCCTGTCGATTCCCCCTCCTTTCTCAAGTCATCTGCATCAGTATCGTCATTTGAGGAAACATTCCCTGATGCCTGCTCTGGATGGCTTTGGATTTGTTCTGCACGCCTACTGTTTGTTAACATCACTGTTGACATGGCAGCATTCTCTTCAGTGATTTGTTCTGCCTTTGCATTTTCATCAGCATGCAATGTCTTTATTTCCTGCTCCTCAGACTCCTCTTTGTGCTCCTCCTGCTCAGTATTCTGCAAGATTTCTCTTTTCCCCACATCCTCCAAAATCTCATTTTTCATGTCCACTTCATTGGCTTTGCCTAAAAGACCATTGAGAAAGTTGAAGGGACCACACCATAGCACTTTGCTCCCCCATTTAAAGCCCAAAAGAGAAAGAATCAAAGAACAGGTTAATAAAAGATCAGTTTTTGCCAATTATGTGAGGCAAAGCAGCAGCTGAATTAGTAAGGGCTGGAGTTTTTATGATCTGTGAAGTCCACCACCACCCTCTCAAAGCAAGAACAGTCTCCAGTGCCGGCTTGTGTTTTTGTAAAATAAAAGATTTATGCTTTGGCAACGTGTGGAGTACAGCTTTCGTAGATGAGAACTTTGTTTCAAGCAGTGCATTTTAACAATAAGATCTGCAGATATCACACTGTAACAGTAGAGATGTTTTGTTCTCAGCAATATCCTCTGTAACTTGAACTCTACTGCGACTCTGTGCACGCAAGAGTGTCTGATGCCATTGCCATGAAGTAATCATGCAGTATTCAGTAACATTTTGTTCCTAATTACCAAGAACAAACATGAGTGTGTACTACAAACACTGTGAAAGTAAAATGTGTTTGGCAAGCAAATGTTGCAGCTGATTCAGATAACCATCAATGGTTGGGTCTTGGTGAGTACCCCTTACAGCTGCTTTATCCACCCAAAAGGAATGGGAGTTTTTTTAAGCAGTGTTTCTTCCTATTTATATTTAGCAGTAGATACTAAGACAGTGTTCTTGGTTTCAACAGTTAATTTGGGGGTTTATGTTATGCCTGTTTCCACACAAACAATCAGGAGGGCTAGAGAATGCATTTAAAGCATTTAAAAATATATCCTTACCTTGTTTTTCCTGTTCCAAACTATTTCCACACTAAAAACTGAGTAAGGAAACAGCAGCCAATAGCTAAAAGCAAGATAACTTTCACTTGCAACAGTTGGCTGCCTGCTGCTATTTGCTAACATGGTGACTTTGAACAACAACAGCAAAAGTCAATTGTTTCCTTTCATTAGTGTAAGGAGACTAAAGTGAGTTCATCTATTGGCCTTTCATCACTAGCCAAGAGGAAAATTTTTGCCAACCAGATTCCTCCTCCTTGATACTATCCATCTCACAGAATCATATGCTTTGAGTTTAATAGCACTAATCCTTGTTACAGCAAGTAAATGATGACATTTTTAATATTAACTGCTCAATAGTACTAGATATCATGAATGAAAAAATTATGTATTAGCGTGTTTTAACAGTGTCCAGCACTATTGTTCAGCAGACATTACAGTTCTCAGATATAAAAAGAAATGACTTGTACGCTGGTTTTACAAATGAAGCTAGAATGCTTTTTAGTCTGTTTCTTTAGATATGTGCTAAAAATAGCAAACAAAAGCAGGATGATTCCTGGCATTTTCAGATTGAAGCTTTAAATAGTGACCTAGGTGACTGCTACTTCTCTGTAATATACAATACTGAATTCTTGTCCTTTGTCTCCTTGAACAAAAGATTCCTTTTGAGGAAACTGCACGATATACTAGGAGTGATAACAACTATTAAGCAGAAAAATGCACAGGAAGTGATTCAACAAGTAGCATGCGGCGTGATGTGTTAATTGTCCAACTAAAAAATGCCCAATCTCCAAGCAAAGGTGAATGAATGGACAGATGGACAGATAAAAGCAGATAAAGTACTTACCTAGAGTCCCATCCCCTGATGTCTTTAGTGCATGAGTTGTGCCTTGGACAGCTTTGGAAGAATCCAGGTGTCCTTCACTATTGAGAATGTCTGATGTCTCCCCATTGGTGGCTACTTCAGAGTCTGGGATTATGCCATGTTTCTGCAGAAAAGTAAAGGCATTGCTTTAAAGCTATCTCTTAAAGTAAAAGACAGCTCAGGTGGTCTTGTTCTTGAAATTTTGAATAAATGATTGCCTCAATCATTCCATTAAAAATGGCTAGAAGTCAGAGAAGAACCCAGACCGTTACAGTTGTTCTCAATTTAGCCATCATCACAGTCAGCATTCAAACTAGATTTAAAAAAAAAATAACAACATAGTCATTTACACTGCTCCTTGTATATGGATCTCCTGCAAAAACAACTATTGAGTACTGAGAGCTCACAGTCATATATTAGAGGTACACATTTCATTAGGTAATTCTCCAAATGGCAACTCAAGGTGGCATCAAAACAAAGTGCCAACCTAGAATCACTTTCTGCCAAAATCTACAAGAGACAACAGAACTGCTTTAGCTACACATCTCTCATTCCTCTGGCATACCTTCAGTTGCTCCTTCAGCACAACCACTTCATCTCTAAGGTCATCCCGCTCACTCCTTATGGAATCAAAGAAATCTTTCTGCCTCTCTAAAGCCTGAGTTCCCAACACAGACAGAGGGCGAGGAGATGTAAAGAAAGGAAAGGAAACAAGTGAAAAGTAAGCGTAAACAAGAATGAACAGATTAAAGATATTTGGAGATTCATGAAAATGGCATGTATGAGGAAGGCAAAATTTAAAGGACTGAGGTCACATACACATCAATAAACTTAAAATCCAAGAAGTGCACAACTTATTCAGCAATCGTTCAATCCCAGGAATTCCTATTAAGGACATTCAGGCCCCAGTCCTTCATTAGGTTTCGATAACATGGGAAAATGAGGATGCACTTTTCATTCGCATCTGCTAGGAAAGATAATTCATATCCATAACACTTCAACGTGTAACTCAAAGAAATAATGCAAATCCCATGTATTAACAGAAGAACATGGAAGTTGGCCTGGCAAATCTTAACAGGCTGCTAATTCCCTGGGTTACATCATGGAGGCAGCATGCTTCAATTAATTTGAAACTGGCAGTAGTCTGTCTTCAGACTTTGCGATGCACCATGTGCAAATGCCTGTTGTGTCAGTGGAAGTCCTTATTTGTGTATTGATACCGAAATATCAGAATGGTAACAAAAACAAATAACTTTGCCATTCTGAGTTTCAAGCGGCTAGAAGTTATTGGACATCATCAGCATGGAAAATGTGCCAAATTTCCTTCCCCCTTCTATATTAAGTCTTTCAGTGCTTGTTATCAGAAATTAAAGCCATATATGTACTTTTTTTTTTCTTTTCCCAGTGGGTTTCTATTTGGCTTTGGGGTAGGGAGTGTGCAGGGTGGGGAGAGCAAGGGAGAAGCAATTACTTTCATCCCAATGGCCCATAAATAAGTCTATTAGTTCTTTATCACACCCCAATTTTTGCTCATAGTCCATAGACCAAACCTGAATAAGCAAAAATTGCAAGCTGATGGAATTGCCTTCTCAATAGCCTTCGTTTGATTCAAGAGCACTTCCTTTCTCAGTATGGCATACGCATATGGTGCATCCCAGTAAATACATTAATCAAATTTCTGAAAACAGACCAGCTGATAAGTTTTTCTTGGATTGCATCATACTGGCCAAAGACAAAATTTGCTGTCTGCTACTTTGCAGGTAATATGAGGCAGCCACATCAAGCAAAGGCACTAGGGAGGATTTTATTCATGGGGTCTTGCAAAAGCAGGATCAGCTGGAGGACAGCAGTGCCACTCCGAACACACATCAGGAGTTCACAGTCCTACCCCTATTTTTTTGTCTTTCCACTCTATTGTCTCCTGGAGATCAGAAATTTCCCTGACATAGTTCTGCTGTTTCTGTTGCAGCTGTTGGATTTCCTGAGGGACGGAGCAAAACAAGAAGACAGAGAGCAGGTAAACAGGTTAACATAGGAAGTCAAGACTGCAGTGATGCCAAAGGATGGAAAAAGTCAGGCGTTAAAGTAGACGAGTATCTACATACACAGTGTCATAGTCACTAACCTCTAAAACCCTACACTTCTTTAGGCAATATTACTATCAACGAGATGTCATAAAATAAGGTTAACACCTTTCTCCACAATGCAAAATGCAATTTATTTTGTATTTGTGGACAACGTAAAAAAATCCAATTACAGATAATGCTTGTGATAAATGCTGTTTCAATTAGTCTGCTTGGCCTGAAACACTCATATTTCTTGAGGTGTAAATTTTGAGTACGGAAGATTGTCCATGCCTCCCCCTTCTATACACCTACTGCCGCCTTGAGCACAGCAATCACAGAAGCTGTTGAAAGCAACAAAGCTGTTACTTACTGCAAGCATTTCTTCTCTTTGCTTCAAAGCTTCTTTCATTTCCATGAACTGAAACTGCAGTATGCTGTGAGCGTGCTTTTCCCTCTCAAATTCCTATAGATAATAAAATAATTTATGAGCTTATTTTTGACTGAAAATAGCCATCACATAAAAACAAGGATAAAACACATCTAACCACACACAGAAAATGCTACCCTTAGTCTTCTAATTGCACTCTCACAAGACTCCAAATTTTTACCTTGTTTTTCTTTTCCAAGAAGCTATTGCATCAACTTCATTTCTTAGTGACCAACCCTTTAGTGTCAAGATGCTGAATTCATGGAAAGCTTAATTCAATACTCAGTCACATAGTCGGCTTAATATAAAAACTATACCACTTTCCTATGAGCCTCCTGAACAGAGTTTTGCACTGCAAATACTCTAGAAGAAAAACACAAAACACCCACACAGGGAATCCTCCAGAACTCACTGTGAACCAAATCTGCTTAAAAGAGGCAGAATAAAAGGATATGCTAAGGCTCTCCTTATCTTGCATGTAAGATATTTCCTCAGAAGTTGCTTTAAAAGAAGTGAAGGTGGGAAGGATTTCCCATTTGGGCACCCGCATGGACACAGAGATGCCCATTAAGGCAAGTGAAATAGCATTGAAAACAATCCACTTATGTAACAGTTAACTTACTTAAAATCTTGAATGGAAGGTTAATTGCCTCCTCTCAAAGGCACCTGTTTGACCAAAACAGAACCAAGGCTGTGCTCACAGCGTGCCACAGCTACATACGTACTTTGCTTTTCTCTTCATACTGCCTCCTGGATTCTGCCAGCTGTTCTTCCAGCTCCAGCAGCGCATCCTTCAGGGTGTCCACTTGGTACATGAAGTTTGTCTTCTCATTGTCGAGCTGTGCATTTGACACCATAGCCTTTTTGTATTTCTCTTCCACTTCTGCTAGCGAGTCCTGCAAAGGAGAAGCAGCCACGGTCGGCGCTCCATTGGAAACACCCGGCTGCCAAACCAGTCCTCGGAGGGGGACTCAGCCAGCCAAATCTCTGTAACCATTTCGTGCTGCAGATGCCTCCCTGGGCTTTCCCCAGCCTTCTAATTGCACACGAGAAAAGGCACCTTGAGATGGATAAAACGGGTCCTTTCCTCCTCCGTGGGAGCTGCTGCTTTTGCAGGGTGCTCCTCCTGCCCCCGCCTCCTCTGCACCCTGGCAGCCCTGAAGCCGACAGGTTGCCTTTCTTTGATTGCCCTAATAAGCTGAGCTTTAGATTAAGGCAGTTTAGCAGCCACCTCACATTAATTTCAGGGGGCACAAGAGCAAGCAAACTTACTGGCTCAGGAAATAGAATTATCCACAAAAAAAAAAAAATGCAGCTTCTGTGACCTGCTGCATTCTTTTTCACCAGATTTCAGTAACACACCTTATACTCCAGGCTCTTAAAATTTTTCTCTGTAAGATACAGTTCCCAGACACTTGAAAACTCCTTTGTTGAATTCAACCTCAAGACAGGAGTTCCTGAGGTTTTTATAACAAGAGTAGCTAAAATGAGGATCATTTTCTCTATGCACAGACTTTTTATCATGTGATTTTAATACAGAAATAAAAGACTCAAACAAAAACAGTGCAAATATGCAAACAAATGGACATCCATGTCAATATTTTAGTTTACAGGTCAAGCACTTTCTCTTGGAGTAAGAGCAGTATCAGAATCACAGCTAGAGCACAGGGCAAGTTTCATATACTTCCACCAGCACGACATTTTTACCAGTTCAATAAAGAGAACTGGGGACTATCATGGTGGCATGACGGCAAATATTAAGATCTGAATCAGTTTGGTTCATATTTCTGTGAACAAACAAGAGAAATTTGTCTTTAAGGACATGAGTTTGTATAGATCCAAATGCAAATCATGTTATAGTGCACTTTCCAGTCTGAATATGAGAAATACCAAAAAGCAGCAGCCAGGATTTGAAAATAGCTGGAAAGGAAGTATATGCAAATAAGTGTTTAAGAGAGGTGCTGAACAATTCTTCCGGCATGCTAAATTTCGTTTTGTTAGCAACAAGTTCCGTCACAAGGATTGACTACAGACTTAACGTGAAGCACCTTTTTTATACCAAAAGCAAAGCCCAAATTAAAAAGGGTCATTGAAACCTCATGCAGCTTAGGTACAAGTCATCACAAAAGGCATTCTAGGGGACACCAACTGACAAAAGCTAACTACGTTTTCTATGCGGTGAATATTATTTTGCTACACACTGATCAGGGAAAAAAAGAGTCAGGCTTTTCAAAAAAAGGCCCAAACTATTCTTTTTCCATTTACAACTCACTTAAGATGGCAGTAACGTCATACATCGCAGCATTGAGCATATCAAAAACACAGTCAACGGTTGATGTTGATACAAATTGCATTATACACACGGATGTCTACTTGTGTCTTTGCAAGGCTGCCATTTCCAAAAACGCAGCTCATGTCATTGCTCACTTACTGGAGGGGTGTATTTTGCTGCACCAAAATGATTTTACAACTTTGTGAGGGTGGTACTGCTGTGAGTGCTCATTCTATGGGCAACAAGTAAAGGAATTGTTCAAAGGGTTTCTGTGAGCTAAGAAGGACTCTAAGGGCAGCCTTCACCTCCACACACATACAGCTGTCCAGACGCAAGCTGGACCTCACCAAAGTAAAATGCAAGGACACACATACAACCTTCTAAAATTTCATCTTTCATAGCACTATAGGCCACAAGTTTTAGTTCATTTCCAGTTTGGGGACGCTTCTTGGATTATGGGTTTTTTTGTTAGTTTTTCTTTTTAACTAGTAACTTGGATTTGTTAGTAAGGTGATTGCCTTCTCAAAACATCAAATAGAACATGCAAGAGTAACCAGCAGCCTTTCAGGCGGCATTTAGATGAATTTCTCTCAACAGCCAGCGGGCACCAGAAGAGATGTCCTTTCTGGCAGGAGACAAGTGTTCCACACCATTCGTGAGCCCTCCCAGAAGAGGAGCATGCAAGATCAGTGCCCACGCTGACTCTCTCAACACTTAGCTGGTGTTAATCATCACACGTCCAGGCTACAGCAAACCAGTACCTTCATTTCTTTCAGTCCCTGCATGTATCTGCCTTCTACATCCTGAATCTGGTCCTTTAACTCATAGATATCCTGAGAGAAACGATGAGATAGTGAATGATGCTGTAGAAACTGAGGGGTGGTAAATAGAGCAGGCCACACAGGCTGAGCAGATCAATCCTAGCCTGCACACTTGTCATTTCTGGGCTAAAAGTTCATTCCAGCTCTACTCTTTTTGACCTTAATTTTTTTTTCTTAAACTAACAAAAATAAAAATAAAGCTATTTTCCACTCAGATTTTCGCTCAATGGGAGGAATATCAGATTGAATAACTACTTACTATTCAAATGTGCCTAAATAAGGCATCAGAAATTAATTATGAAATAATCCCTCCCCAGGTTGATAGCTTTCCCTCAAGCTAGCAACCAGAAAGTGTGCAGTGCTCCTTGTATCATTTCCAGCCTTACATCACTTTTTTTCCATTGACAAGTATGAGATGTTCTATTCCCATCAGTCCGTCCATCTGCTGCCGTACATCTACAGCTCTCCTGCAAATTTCCTGCAGCTTGCCACCAAATATACAAAGCTGTTCACTATTTATTTACACCATATAATTCAGGGGGAAACATGCCAGTTATTTTTTGCTATCAGACCTGAAGGAAACCATCTCCTTAATACTGAGGCAGGAAGCAGCACTGTCAGTCTTCCTTCTTACTGTTGTTTCCACACACAAAAGCAATACTCCTTTGAAATAACTTTATAGATTATCTACCTAGAAAATAATGCAAGTTATTGCAATACTGCAACTGGCCAAAATAACCATCCCTAGCAACTCATGCTGTTCTGAAATATCTCACCTTTATTTCCCTAATAGATGCCTCTGTGTCAGCTGAGATGGAGGTGTCCCCGCTGCCTCTCCGTGAAGAAGTCCCACCCAGCGAAGCTAAGGTAGCTGCTGATAAGCTTGAGACAGTGCGAGCTCCCTAGAATTAAAACAAAACACAATTAAAAATGGTTATGACCCTTTTTTGGGAGACTTTTACATATACACATAATGCATGGTGTGAATGTACTTATAGAGACAAAACAGCAATTTCTCTTTGGCACCATCAGTGATATTCCAGCAGAGCAGATGGATCATCATTAGGTGCTTAGTTTTACCTATCAGCAAGGCAGAAAAGAGCCAAACCAGAAACAAACCCAGTTTCTAACGCAAGTTTTACATGCTCCGTTTTCAAAAAGGCACATGTAATCATTAATCATTGGAACACGTCTGTGCAACTTTGGCAGTCCCAAATCAAATCAGGAAGAAAGGACCCGACAGCAGTTGTCATACCTCCAGGTGTCTAAACCAACCAGAAACAAATCTGTGCCTGTGGTATCACCCTAACTGCCATCACAAACCAGTGACGAGCAGATCCAGAACAAGGGCTGCTGTTTCTCCACTTAGCAGCAGGCCAGAAGAGCAGGAGCTCTGCACTTCTGCTTTGCACAAACTTGATTAGAATGTAACCGTCCAGGAAGCGAATCCAAAGATCAAGATCTACCAAGGGAAACTAATGACAAAAGATTGATCTAATGTATTTAAATACTGCTGTATCTCTAACAAGAGTTTGTATGGCTTGGCTTCTGACTATTAATAAGACTGAACTTTTAAGAGCTAGAATCATCTTGCCAGACACCATTTTCAAAACTTGCACTGTTAAATCATGTAGAAGCTTATGATAACTCAAGTTCATCTCCTTTTGTTCATATCTATGTCCTTGGCAGCAGCAGCCTCATTAACTGTTCTAGTGTACTGGGGTTTCTGCACAGAAGAGGCAACTTTTCAACCCTGCAGCATCATCTTATTATTTTTTTTAATATTGCATAAAGACACAATTAAAGTTTACTAAACAAACCCAGTGTTCACATAGCTGAAACTGCTTTAGGCTGAGCTACGTGCTGTTGAAGGTCACCTGCTTACCTGCTGATTGCCTTCAAAACAGTAGCAGTAGAAGGCTCCAATAATTTGAAGTTTTGCCCCACAATGGAATTTATAAGAGATTTCTATAAATTCAGTGTGAATTTTTCCCTCCAAAAAGAACACCAAGAAACTACTGTTATGAGAATGATTTGTAAAATTTTTCTTACCTTCTCAAAGTCTTTTTCTGGCCTTTCTTCGATCTGCAAAACAAATATTTAGAATAAATCATTAGCTAATAGACAGTAAGAGATCAGAAGGGCAATTCCTAAACCTTTAAAAGACTTCTTGTTAGAAGCTTTTATCCATTCAAAGAACAACAGGTTCACTTAAAACAGTTAGCATCCAGGCCAGCACCTTAGGCTGAAAGTCTGAAGAGTCCACCTCAAGTTTCCTGGTAGCACATTATTTTAAGTTGAATATACATGTTGATGAAAAACTACAAGGTTTATTACATAAGTCAGAAGAACTGATCTATCCATATTCTTCCATATTATTTTCCATATCCTACATGATAACATTTCAAACATCCACTTGATGGTCAATCTGTGACCTAACAACACAAGGATTGAAAACCTACATGAGCATTAATTCAAGTTTTCAGTTGAAAGATCAATAATTTACCAGACCAAGAGAAAAAAAAAAAAACACAGGAAGAAAAGAGGAAAAGGAAGAAGCTTAAAATCTCAGAAAAAGGTTTCCTGCTTGTAAGAAAAAGAGACCTCTGACTTGAAGCAAAGATTCAAGTAGGGCTGAGACTACACAAACTAATCCTGAAGTGTCAGGAACCTGGTTCAAAGTCTAAATACACTAAACTGCCCACTGAGGCTTTCAGATATCCACTGGTAAGATGTAAATACTGGGAAAAAACACATAACCCAGGGAGATTTTTCTCCTATGGATAGGAACAATCCTTTCAACTTTTTACTCTTCTGAACTGAGCAAAACATCCAAGTTCCTAAGGCCAGAATTTAAAAAAAAAAAAAAAACCTCAATGTTTCACACTGGCAGTGCATTTCATACCTTAAAAAATATCCTAACAACTAGCATTAGGAAAACAAACTTTAAAGTAGAATACACGTGATTTAAAGCAGTACATATAGCAGCATAATAATACAAATAGTGCTTTAAATTCACACAAACAGTGAATGCAAGTAGATATTTATGCACAACTTATTTTTTTTAAGCTTTCTTAATTTGGACAGAATAAGAAAAGCTACTGAATGTAGGTACTTCTGTTCAATCCTCTAAGTAAACTGCCTTTAGCTTTGCAAGGAGCCTGATGTGCTCATGCCAGCTGCTCCAAGGGGCAGCCCTGGCAGCTTTGTGGCCAAGCCAAACACGACACCGTTGTCAACACGAAGTTGTGGCGGGACAAACACTCTGTGTTGCCAAACTCCTGAACACACACACACACAAAACAGGTTCTCCAGGAACTCAGATACAGGTTTCTGCAGAAATGGACACTCTGGGTTTAGGATAGGACTAAAAATTCTGTTTTTCTTAGTGGCAAATGAGTCACTGAACGTCCTGCAATTTCCTAAAAAGGAATGTGCAACCTCAGGCTTTACTAAGATCAAGGAGCAAGCTTCAATCGTGTTATAATGACGCACAAAAGTAGTCTAGTAAAAGTTTCCATTTATAAAGGGGAAAACCTTGGAGAAACCTGCGGAGAGGAGAGGTGCATTTGTAGCTCTGCCTCGGCTCACGTCTGCGCCGGGCGCACGCGCTGCAAACAAGCTCTAGCCCTTCTCCGAAGCTGGAGCGAGCGTACCCTCACCCCAAGCCCCCAGGAACCTTTAAAACCTGGTGGTTTCAAAAAATACCACATATTTTATTTTCCTTAGCAATGCCCCATTAGGCATGTCTATTTGGTGCCATGAATTACATACCACAAAAGCACATTCTCCTCAAACAAGTACCACCACCAAGTATTTTTTCAATATAAACATTTTAAACTCTTTTGAGAAAAGCCAGTTTCTCTCTCAGTTTCTCCTGTATATTATTTGGTTTTGATTCTGTTCTGCAATCATATATTTACTGCTTTCTCAGAGGAATTGTTTTCCCGGCCACCAGAGGGAACTCCGGGTTTTCCACCTTTGCCTGACCTCCTACAAGCACTTTTGTACTTGATGGAGAAAGGAACCAAATCAAGAAAATTCAGCAAGAAATGTTTTGGTTTTACCTGAAGTTAGATCATGCTCTGTCCAAAAATACTGACCTTCCATATCATCAAGCAATAATGAAGAATAAACATAAGCAGTCTAAAAGCCACCTCTCTGTTTCACAGCACTATATCCTTGGCACAACCTTTTGCATAAATTCACTGGCTTTTGAGATGTCCATAATGTGGACATTTCATCCCTGAGTACATAAGGAGGAAGGAGAAAGGAGAAGTCTAGGTCTTTTGCAAAGGAACAGGCTGCTCTCTGCATCCAAACCACCAGCACTAGCAGAGACTCACTGCAGCAAGGAGCTCAACTCCAGCACCTATATACGGAAAACACTGCCTACATTTTCATAGATAATAAAAACATTTTGGCACAACGCTTCAGAAAGCATTTCTATACTCCCGGGCCAGGTAGCAGGTTGACCCTGGAGGCTGTTGGAGCATCTGGGCTAAATCAGGAGCTGCCAGCAGCCACATCACGGGGCACCCAGAGCACCTGCAGGCAGTCAATGGGTGACCGATCACCGTCCAGCTCCATCCACCTTCGTGCACTCAGAATAACGTCCCCATGAAAAGGAAGGGCCTGGCTGTGACACACCAAGCTGAGATCCTTCCTGGGCTGGAGGCAGCACAGCACATATTGCCCACCCCGAAGAATAGCTCTTGCCATAGACAGTACTGAACCAGGAATAGTTTCTGCAAGCACTGGCATTAAAGTGCCCTGCAGCCAACATCGAGCAGCTGATACAAATATAAGGTTATTGGCCTGATCTGCTGGGCTGGGGCACACAGCACCTCCAAGGATCCCCAAGTGGTTTTCCAATCACGAGAGCCACCTGAACACTGGCAATTAGCATTAAGCATTTAAAGCAGCAGCAGCAGCAAACACTGTTGAACTGTCAGGGCTTGAGTGGATTTGTCAGGAGGATCCTCACTGCTTAGACAAACTTAGCAGCAACCAAAATGCAAATCCTCCCTCCTAGTGCCCTACAGCTAATCCCAGCCCTATCAGTGGCTTGGCTCATACCCGAGCATAAGGGAAATCTCTTGGGTGCAAAGGGGAGACGGCAAAGCTGCAGCGCGCGGCTCAGCGTGACCATGGAAATTGCTGCTGCCTGCATTTTCTTCCTTGGGAGAGCAGGAGAAGCTGATGACAGTGCAAAACACTACCTGCAGCTCCGCTTTGCATCGTCGCACGAAGGACATCGCACCGGTGTTTGCAGTCCCACGTTTCCTGTGCCTGCTGCTGCCAACGCTCTCAGCAGCCCAGAAACATGGGCCCTCTCCTGGGATTGTGTCTTCCTTTGCTCAGAAACTCCCCAGATCAATACTTCTATGTTGTGAATCTGCTCCAAATGCTGTCCTTCCCTGCTAGCTGATTTCGTTCACTTCGAACAAATCCAAGTATTCATAAAACAATAAAGCAAATCTCAGCCAGAATACACCAATACCTTGGGCACAACGTTTGCCTGCATTTTGACAGAAGAGCTTGACATTTGCTCTCAAGCATCTTTAGATCCACATTTTATATCAAGTGCAATGCTTAAATGTTAAGTATTATCTGCGATAACTACAGAGGTAACAGACAGGGAAAAAATATGACTACTCCCAGCATCCAAACCAATCAGTAAATCTGATGCTGCTATAGTTAAGCTTTTAAACTACTAAGATAAGCAAGTATTTACACCTTCTGTTAGGCAGAATGGCCCTCCAGGTTCAGCATCTAGTTTCTCCTGCTACTTCATCAGCCTTGGCAGCAATTCAGTGCTGTGTTGCTGCATCAGTGTCATTGTATGTAAGAAAAAATGTACACAATTACTGCCTTAACACTGTATGATTTTTATTACAGTCCATGGATTTTGTAAGCTGTCAGACCCTGAAGTGACCTGAGCTTGCTGGAAATTCGGCTTTTCCATGCAAGCTGTCCCCTTTTCTTCACCCTCCACCAGGCATTTCAAAAATAAACTTGCATTTACGTGTACAAATAGCAAAAGACATACAAAGCAGAATCAAGAAAGCATGTCCCTTGGCCTATTAAGGGCGAAAACAACTCACTTTAGAGTTAGCAATATTCAAACAGCTTAAGCATGCACAGACCCCAGCAATCACTCTTGTCCGTGTTAGCGGGGCTGCCCCAAGAGGTTTCTCTCCTTCCTTTAGGAAACCCAGGCAGACGACGCTTCCGGACGGCGCGAGTGGAAGCGCTAAACCGCAGAGCCAACCGAGGAGGCACCGCTCCGTTTCAACATCCTCCTGCCACGAGGGAGCACGCAACTGGAAAAGTCACCAAAACACCATGAATTCTCTATCAGGAAAAGCCAAGGGGAGCGATTCCTTCCTGCGAGCTGCATGAGAAGGCAGGGTTTAATGCCGGGGGAAAAACATAGAGAAAAAACAATCTGGAGATGCCGGATTCCCCCAGCAGAGTCATAAGGAATTTTGCGGCGATGCCTGGAGCTGGGCAGAGCGGGGTCAAGTCCCTGTAGCGCCGCCTTTTAGACCTACTGCTGCATCACCTCTCGCCTCTCCTCGAGGCCACAAAAGCAACAGACGCGCTTTGTGCCTTGCAATATACCACTGATTAAAAATAATAAACAAAACATTGCCTACTATCTCCTTGCAGCCTGGATGCAGTCTCTCTGCTGACCCAGCAAACCACCTGCACCCGCTCACAACCCAACAGCCCAAAATGCAAGGGGAGAATAAAAGATGAAACATTCCCTATAGCTCCCAGGAGGGGCAAGCTGCATTTCGGTAGGGCACTAAGCAACTTGCCCCAATGACTTTGCTTAGGAAAACACATAACAGAAGCTGGTTGCAGTAAAGATACCTGGCTCTCAAAGAGCTTGCTTGGATTTCATAGAATCATAGAATGCTTAAGGTTGGAAGGGACCTCTAGAGATCATCTAGTCCAACCCCCCTGCACACACAGGGTCACCTAGAGCACGTGGCACTGGACTGCATCCAAGTGGGTTTGAAGATCTCCAGAGAAGGAGACTCCACAACCTCTCTGGGCAGCCTGTTCCAGGGCTCTGTCACCCTCACTGTCAAAAAATTTTTCCTTAAGTTCCTATGGAATTT